ACGAATTCCAGTCGTTCAGTTAGCACGCCAGGGCAAGGCCTAAGGTAATGATGACACAGAAGCAAGAGCTAGGGGAGTATATGGAAGCCGTCACTGTCTGGTACCTCTGCCTGCTGATGTGAACTGCATTGAAGACTCAACCTCCTTATTCTCAGTTCTTCTGATTACTTCCTAGCTACGTAGAGCCCGAATAACATTGTATAAATTGGGTGCCTTACACATTGAACTTAAAGTAATCCGGTTAAAGGCATTTCCTGGGATTTCAAATTCTTACCTGCTCCAAGGAAACAGGTACTTGAATTCCAATAATCCCATTTAAGTTTTTGTTATAGCAGTGTCTGTTTATTGCTTACAAAGATAATGTTGTTTTCAGTAATCAGGTATATTTTACTGTTAAATGCCAGCTGTGGCCCAGTTTCCAGTAATGTCCAAGTTACTGATAGATGGAAAACCTTTATTGTAATATTTACAGGTGTTTGGGAGAAAGTATATTCGTCTATATTCACCACAGGATTCAGAAAACCTGTACCCACATGAAAGCCAAATTCTTCACAACACTAGTCAGGTAAATAGTTGCCTGAAATTTTAGTCTCAGTAATGTTACTTTATCAAATCATATTTGAGTAAAGACATTCTGCTGATGATTGTTGTGGGTTTTTTTATAGGTTGATGTGGAAGATCCCGATGTAGTTAAGTTTCCCAATTTCAGAAAGGCTGCATTTCAGTCCTGTATTCTGATGCCTGGACAGGTCCTGTTTATTCCAGTTAAATATTGGCACTATGTACGATCGCTTGATACCAGCTTCTCTGTCAGTTTCTGGTGGTCATAGCTCTGAAGCGTGCATAAAGTCTGTTAGCATTGAAATGGGAATTAAAAGTCAGAAAAATTACCATCTGGCATCTTCTCACAAGAGAATTCTTTTCAAGCATGAGAATGTTCTTCCCTATCCAGAGATTAGAGGTGGATTAAAAAAAAAAAAAAGAAAACCACCACACTCTTGCTTCAGCATGGTGAAAGAATCTGGATGGGTAAATGGAAAGAAGATGCTACAGCCACTTTATTTTTGGGGATGTTTCTAACAAGAACTCATAAATAAAGAACATCTGTTTGGTCATGATCTTGTATGCGTGTGTACATCTGAATCAGCCCTATGTATGGGCACTGCCAGGACTCTGCTTCCAGCTGTATTTGGAACACCAGGTTAGTGTTACCTTCTGCGTGGATTTAGTAACAGTAAAAATTGGAGTTACATGAGCAATGAGGGAGGGTGCTACCCAAAGGTTCAAAACGTTGATATAAAAAAACCCCAAACCCTAACACAATGCAAGATACTGATCTATATGGAAGAAGTTACTAGTGTTGAGGCCTAGGAATATAATTAATTGTAGTTAATCCGTAGTTTAGTTGCAGTTAAAACAAACTGAAGCTTGATCGTACTTCGATTAACCAGCAGCTGAACTGCTGACACTCCGCCTTCCCCGTGTCACAGCCTTCTGCCAAGGAAGGACATGCTGCCATTCCGTTCTGGTTCCTGGCACTATCTAGTCCTTGTCTTTTTTTTCAAGTCACTTTTAAAGGAAAAAGCATCCTTACACAGAACTGGAGAGGGAAGTGCCAATACTAAAAGAATCTCAAGATGGTAATTTTTTTTCAGCACTTTGCGGACATAAGCTGGCGTTGCCCCAGCATCTTATCCTACCCCTTCCCAGTTATGTTGACTGGGAGAATAGTCCGTCTCTTAGTGAGTGTAGCTGCTCATGACCTGGCCTTGTGTCAGATGAACTCTGTCTCCAGAGAAGGGACAAACACCCAGCAACAGTGCCAAGTGAAAGTGTTCAAACGCTAGCCCTAGGTCAGATATTCAGCCAGCCTTCCTTAGTGAGGAGACCTCAAGCGCTGCATTGATTCTTCACCTCCCTGAAGCCCTGTTTCATTTTCGGCTGTGCAAGTGAAACTATACAAACAGGGAACACTACTGCTGAGAAAGGCTGCTTGTAATAGCTCACCTGCATAGATCAGCTTGCAGGACTGACTAAGAACATCTGCATCTTTCCTTCCCAACCATGCCCTGGAAGTCCCAACCCAAGAATATGGAGAACTACATACAATGATAGTTTTATTGTCAAATCCTTAAAACTTAAGGGAAAAATAAGTACACTGAACAACACACTGTTAGTAACAAATACAAGATGGTCTGGCTGTCCTGCCAGAGTGGGGAAAAAAAGTTTTCACTGAATGAAGCTCTTCTCTGCTCTCCCTGTTTTTGATGGTGACTGGGAGCCTATCTGACTCACACCTGTGAAGGAACAAAAGGAAGGTTAATGACACACAAAAAAAGGATGATACTGGATAATGTCCAGACTTTTAAAATGCTTTATATATTCCCGTGTTCCTTTCAGAATGTGCCATCTCCCTGGCTAAACAGAGGAATGCCAAAGAGACTGCGCTCTCAGAAGCTCAGTATTTCCATGTTTAGTGTCCTGTGTTGTGTCTGTGTCCCCCATCCCCCCCCCACTTTAATGTTGTTAGAAACAAAATGGACAGGATCTGCTAGTGACCGTAAGGCATAATCCTTGCACTTTCAGGGCCCTGTGTTGCCGTGTATGGTTTACTGTCTGAAACACACAACTGAAGTCACAAATTACTCATACTCAACTACTGTTATAAATAACACAGGCAGTGTCTGAATAGCCCAGCCTGTTCTCTAGCATTATTACACTCAATTTTTTTTTTAAATAGGTTGATTGGTACCTGGAATGTCACAAGACCAGAAATCGTTACACTGCGGACAGCGTCGTTCAGTCTGAGCTCTAAAGTACTTTCTGACACAAGGTAAATGCATTCCCGTTCCACAGGATTCACATACTTGCCTCTGAAATCAGAAGTGTTGATAAAAAAATCCAACTTGTGTTTAACGTAAAATTGTAGAAAGGGCAGCAGATATGCAGTGCTTTATTCCCAAGAATGGTTCACACAGTACAGCTGGTGGATACTAGAAAGTCAAAGCTGGTAAATGATAAAAGGAGGTATTTTTCTGAAAACTAGGAAATACTATTTCCCTTTATGGACAAAATTTAGCTTGAAAGACAACCCTGAGCTATTTGGGTGCAATAAAGGAGACCAATTGGGATGGAAAAAGTAACATGGATGCACATTAGCTGGGACAATGAGAAGATGCAGGGTCGAGGAGCAAGAGAATGAACTAGTTTTGGAATAGTTCAGGCTGTAACCAAGACTAAACTGGTAATTTACCAGCTATCTAAATAGAGTGCCATAGCCTGCTGTATATAAACATACACATTAATTCTGGAGTCCAAGACACAAGCAATTCCTGAACAGGACCCAAGGTGAACGTGTGTCACATGAAGACTGCTATTTGTAAGGTCCAAAGGTGAGATTGGTCAAGTGTTGTGCCTATTCGAGGATAAGGGTACATCTCTAGCCTGCTGGCTTTGAAAAGCAAGACAACAACAATGTTCCTCACTGGGTGAGTTCGCTTTCTCCAAGTTTATACTCCGACATAACTGCTCCAAGACAAGTTTTTTTCCAAAGACAGAAGATAAAATACCTACACGGGAAGGGGTGGGGGTGGGGGGGGTGGGGGGGAGTATTTTCTTTATATACATGGGCACGATTACCAGATTACAAGACCAGAATTTCTCTGTGCCTCCCTAATACTCAAAGGAAAGTATCACAAACTTCAGCTACCACCACATCAGTACATTAGGAGACACCTACTGAGGTAATAAAACAAACGTTACCTGGATGGCAAGGCTGTGACAGATGTTACACTTCCTTGCCACATCTTGATAGTTACTGAGAATGTATTGTTCCATCTCAATTATGCAGCGAGTATGCAGAGTATATTCTCCATTTCTCTAAGGAAACAAGTGGTGAGAGAAGGTTCTTTTAATTCCTTTTACCTTTTTTTGACTTTTCTAACCACCCACTAGTGAGCATTTGACATCCAATTTTTTTTTGCCAACATGAAACTAACACGCTGACAGATACAATACAAAGCCAAGATGCTTTTGCAGCAGCAGAATTCATTTGTTTAGAGGATCAGAATAAAGATCTCACGCTGTAACAGAGATCCAGTCCTTGGAAGGTACAGATTAGCAAGCATGCTGTCCTTAACAAAGACATGCAGTTTTGGGACCGTCCATTTGCACATTAGTGGAAATTGTACTGGCTTCCAGCAAAATCTAGGCATTTACTGCTTGAGGTATCTTTGAAAATCTCTGCTAAATCACTCTAACATAAGTAAACCTGTGGCGGTGGGTTGGAGATCTATGATGCAATGAATCTGGGAGAAAAGGGATTGAGAAGACTCTTGTCTGAGCAAGCAACTGCAGTGTCCACACGGTAAACTAATATCAATTTCTCCCTCACGAAGAAAAGGTGATTTAAAGATGTCCACAGTGGCCCGTGCATTTCTGGTATGTTTGGCCTCACTGCTTTTCAGAATACGCTAAAAGTAACTCACAGCGCTGACCACCCTCAAGAGCTTTCCCCAGCTCTTGTTCCAAGTTGAAGCATGCCATGCTGTAGTGCAGAAAGGATGTCTGAATGTCGCAGTGCAGGGCTGTGCACGCGTACCCACCTAGCTCAGGTAGAAGAAACTGAAACCATGTCCTGTATAGGCCTACCCAAGGACTTTTTCCTTGTAAATGTGCTACCTTTTCTGCAAAAATCACTGAAGCAGCAATAAGCACAGGCCCCACAAAACCATTTTTGCCATCATTCATTGAAGAACAGCTCCAGTTTCAGCCATCACATCCAAAGAAAATAATAGTTGGACCAATTAAAATATCAACACTTGAAAAGATGGAGCAGTTACCTCAGAGAGCCACTTATCCTCCACAAAAACTTTCAGCACTTGTTCCGCTTCCTTTTTCTTCATTTTCTTTGTCTTGAGGTGGTCAGCCAAGTTTAAAATATCTGTAGAAGAGGCAAAGCCACCTTCTGATAAAATGATTAGGTCCATCTACCGAAAGAAACATTTTCAACTATTAAAAAACCCACGCAATTAGACAGACGCACCTTATAGTTATGTGCAGCTTTTTTTAGCATCCATACATACGAGATATGAACAAGAACTGTAAAACAAAGGCCAAAAACTGAAACAATCATTGTTACCTTGGCAGTTTTAATCTTTGCCAAGAAAAATTTCCACCAATAGAACTGTACAGTGCTGCCTAAACGAAGCTGCATTCAGGGACCCCTGAGCACGCTCAGGGGTGACAGATCTGTTTCTTTTTATCCGCTCTTTGTCACGGTTCTTTTGAGGAAAAACCGCTCACTACTAAAATAAGTTCGTTCGCTCTGGAGTC